GGCAGCTCACTGGGAACTTCATGCATTTTATTTACACTTGTATAGTCTAGTGATTTGTGCCTGTGGAACATGGATTAAAAAAATCCACAGAGAAGTCCAAAGTTAATTTTAGTTATTGCATCAATGTCCAAACCTCAGGCTGACTCTTACAGGACTTGGGTTAGATGTGGTGTGAAGAACTTGAGAGCAATGAAGGTTGTTAAATAATTAAATTAATTTCGAAGACAATAAGAATTCTTTCCTAGAGAAGAATATAAATCTCTATCTGAATAGTCTACCAAACCCGCTGCCATGGAGCAGAACTGCCTCACAGGGTTTCCAAAGCTCCCTTTGTGGAAGTTGACTGCTAATTGTTGCCTCTCAGAGCAGCGGCTGAGTTTGAACAGTCAATCTTTTAGTTTGTAGCTGAGTTCTTAGCCAAGGCTCCACCACAGCTTCTTCTGGTAGTGTCCAGGTAATCTCATTTGATGGAGTATGGACAATACCCTAGGATAGTTCCTTTGAGACCTGAATAAGGCATAGTTTATCTAGACAAAGGATAGTTCCTTTGTAAGTTCTACAAATCATCAGACTTTTGCTGCCCTACCTTTTTGTCCTCCCCTATTCATCTTTGTGGAGGAACAAATAAACTCAAACAGCTCAAAGACAAACTTAGAACTGGACAAGTAGTGAAAAAAGAGTGGAGTCTTCACCTGGGATGCCTGGGCTTGCATCCTGGCTCTGTCACTTACAAACTGCGAAAGCAGGGCAAGGTCATCCTTCTCTGTGTGCTTCAGCTCTGGGGGTTGAGTTTTGTTAGGTTTTTTTAAAGAAAAAGAACACTAGCCAGTCTGTTGTCAAGTCAATGTTGATTCTTGGTGACACCATGTGTTGCAAAGTAGAACTATTTCGTAAGGCTTTCTTGGCTATACATCTTTAAGGAAGCAGATTACCAGCCTTTCTTCTGCGTTGTCTCTCGAGTTTGAACCTTTACATTAATAGTCAAGAACAAAACAACTGCACTACCCAAGAACCTTTGATACTAAAAAAAATCCTCATTGTTGTTTAGTCAGAACTCACTCACCGCTGACCCAGCCAGATGGTTTCCAGATGCTGTGGAAATTGCACAGGGGGCTACCCACCTTTCTCCTCTGGAGCACCACTAGATTTGAAACAACCATCTTATCGAGGAGCAATGAGGTCAGTTTGAGGATTAAGGTGCATCTGATTTAGGCCATGATCTTTATGATCACTTGTCATGCATCTGAGAGCTGGACAATGAATAAGGATGACAGAAGAGGAATTGGTGCCTTTGAGCAGTGGTCTTGGAGAGCATTACTGAACACCCTATGAACTGCTAAAAGAATAAACAATTATGTTTCGGAGAAAGTGCAACCAGGGTACTCTTTGGAGGCAAAGATGATAAAGCTTCACTTCACATACTTTGAGCATGTTGCTCAGAGGAGATATTCCTTGGATAGGGACATGATACTCAAAAAGGAAGAATATCAGCAAAGGAGAGGAAGACCTCAACTGCGTGGACTGACACAGTGACTACTGCAATGAACTCAAGTGTGTCAGGAAGTGCGAGGATGGCACAGGATAGGGCAGAGTTCAGATCTGGTGTTCACAGGGTCACTATGGGTCAAACTTGACTCAACAGAACCTAACAACAACAATAACAACATCTATGGATTCCTACCCACCAGACCAATCATACCCAGAATGATTTATTATTTAGTAGGCCACCAGAGCTCATTATGGAACTTAAAATAAAAGTCACACGAATTGTTGAGAGGCTTAAATGAGTTGATCTATGTGAAACCCTCAGTTTAGAGCCTGGCTTATGACAAACAACAAACAATAGGAATTGTTGTTTTCATCACATCTATTGAAGAATAATTCTACAGTACCTCGTAGCCATGGTCTTCACAATTGCTTGCTATGTACCAGAGAGCTGGACAATGACTAAGGATGGAAGAAGAATTGATGCCTTTGACTTGTGGCGCTGGAGAAGAGTATTGAACATCCTATAGATCGTCAAGAAAACAAATTGGTTTGTCTTGGAGGAGTTGAAATAAATTTCTCCTTGGAGGCTAGGATTTTGAAGTTCTGTCTCACATACATTGGACAAGTGGCCAGGAAAGACCAGTCCTTAATGTTTGGAAGGGCATAATGTTTGGAAGGGCAAAGGGACAGAAAAAGAGAGGAAGACTCTGGATGAGTCGGATTGACTCAGTGACTCGGATAATGGGAGTAGGTATATCAGAGACAATGAAATTGGATCAAGATAGAGCTGAATTTTGAGCTGTTATACAGAGTGTCACTATGAACGACAAGCAACTCGAAGGCACCTAACAACCACCACCACCACCACCTTGTAGCTAAGGAAAAGAGTATTTCTTTTGTAATGAGCTTATTTACTCCAATAGTACCAAAGTATCAAGTGAAATAAGGGACAGGTGATTTTGCTAAGCTCATCCTTTGACTAAGGTTTTTAAGAGCCCCCAACTCTTCAGACTACCATCCAAGATAAACTGTGTTTCATCTCTTGATAAAATGCAAGCTCAAGGTGTGAACCACTAGTACTTCTGTGCGTCATCATGTACATGAGGCATCTGAACAGAACACAAAACACCATTTAGACACTCCAGTGAAAGAATCAAGTATCTATGCTAAGATAAAAAAAAAAAGAACTATCAATTTCTAAGAGTCTTATCTTTATATACTGATGTTGAGTCAGAACTGAGTCATTGCTGATGTACCATGGGATTTGGGGGTCTGAAAATAGATCAGAAAGTGATTTCCAGATTCCTGGTCTTTCTCCTTCAGAGCTGAGATTCAAACCAACAGATTAGTAGCACAAATCCTTACCAACTACACTACCAAATATCTATCCACCTATTTCTCTACACATCCATTGATCGACCTGGCTCCTCATCTCATCATAGTTTGGTATTCATATCTTATGTCATGATTTAGTTTCAAATGTATTATAAATATTTCAAAGTCACTTTTATGACTCCTGTGTCTTCAGAGATGAGAAGCCAAGAAGTGGCAGTAATTTTATTCCTCTCACATATTGGGAGCATGTGTTAGGAGGGGCAGTCCTTGGGAAAGGACATTATGCTGGGAAAGTGGGAACGTGAGCTTAATGGAGGAAGACTCTCAGGAAGATGGAGACCCAGTGACTGAAACAGTGAACTCAAGTTATCAGAGATGATGTGGATGCACAAGATAGGGCATGGCTGAAATTTGCTATTCATATGTTCTCTGAGTTGTATTCAACTCAAAAGCACCAAACAACAATTTTGTCATTTTTCTCTACCATCAAGTCAGAATCGACCCATAGCTGACCCTCCAGCAGGTTTTCAGAGGAAAAAATCACATAGGAGGAGACTGCCCATCTTTCTCCCATGGAGCAGCTGGTGGATTCAAACTGCATGCCTTCAAGTTGGCAGCACAGCTCCTTACCATTAGACCACCAAAGCCACCCAACAAAAATAGAATAATTCTAGAAATGATTTAGTGAGCCACAGGTAAATGCTTTCTTCTCACCTCTGCTGTAACTCATTGAATGCTAACAGGCAAGCCCTTAACTTCTCTGGGCCAGGGCTGTCTGATCTGAGAAACAGAGGGCGATGCCCAATCTCCCACTCCACAATCAACAGTGAGGTAGAAAGGAATGACAGACTTTGCAGCACAGCAACACTTTGAAAAAGCTTCGAAACCCACTATACGTTAAAGAAGTATATTACTACAAGGAGGCCTAGTAGTGCAATGGTTAAGCTCTTAACTGCTAATCAAAAAGATGGTGTTTCAGACCCACCCAGCAGCTCTACAAAATGACTTGGCAATCTTCTCCCATAAAGGTAACAGCCAAAAAAAGGCAGTTCTCCTCTGTCACAGGGACACTATGGCATCTACCAGCAATGACAATGTTACTACTGACATCAGATCATATGACCAGAAATAATTTTACTAAAGAAAAACCAAGATGTTTATTTTCTATTTATGAAACAACACAGTGAACTTG